AAAATTCGAAGCTCGAGAGCATAATGCTTTGCTTATGTGGAGTCCCGTGAACTGGGTTACACTCATGATCCCTGCAAACCATAGGGCGTGTGACGAGGAAAGGACTGGAGCGCAACCTGGGGTAGCATTTCCACCAGTGATGCAGTTCTGAGCCCAGCGGTAGTGGGAAAAGCTGCGCTGGTTGAATCCCAGCTTCCACGCCCTATTGTCTGCAGGGATCACCACTGTACTCCCATTTAAATCGTATTGGCATTCGATTACGGGTTTGGAACCAAATTCGGCGCTATTATCAAGCAGGGCCATGTTTCTATTACACACCACTTTGGCCAGTTAGAAAATATATAGGAAAAAGAAGGCTGAGGACCAATAAAACCGGGCTGTAAGACAACGAGTTTCTTGTGATGTTCCACTTGGTAAAGGCCCCTAAAGGCACCCAGATTACCTGTACAGGCCACCTTGTGAACAAATGTAATTTCCTGCAACCCATTTGCGTTATTTGTACCTTATCGCTGCTTCACAAAAGTTTACGGATCTCACCAAAGTGAAACATTTTGGGTAAAATGAGCTAGGACAAACCAGTGAAAGCGCTTAATCCCTTTACCCCGTGCTAAGCCGGATAGCGCCCGAATTTTCGGCACGTGGAACCAAATCAGAATCGAAGAGAGCGAAGTAAGGAGACGGTCAACAGTTGTATTCAAAGGCGAAAACGGATCTGATGTCTGAATACTCACCTGTTTCACGTACTCGCACCGCATGCCGTACTCGACCCATTTCAGTGGGTTTCCTTGTGCACCGTTGAAGTAGGTGGTGGAGTAGAGCTCGTTGCTCTTATAACCCTTTGACCTGGAGAATATTTCTTCATACCTCTCAAAAATAATTCAGTGTAATAGCCAAGCTGAGATGAGTCCATGCTGCTTTCCGTCGTCTATAGAGCGTGGGCGGGGAGGGCAGACAGCTCACCGTACAGCTCTGTAGTTAGGGCACGTCTGGCAAATGGAGGACAATTTGAGTAATTCTTCCTCCTCCCAACCTACTTCTTTCAGTTTCCACCTTCAAGGACTCTTTTTTCCCCAATCTCATTTTCTCTCCAAAAAAAAACTACGAGCTGCCCCTGAGCGTCCATTGGGCGAGGGAGGGGGGGGGGGGAGGAGCCAAGAACTGTCAACATCGAAAACTATTTTTTTTACAAAAAATAGGTCCCATTCCGTCAACTGATCGAACACGGCTCTCGCCGGGGATCTCAATAATTGACGTGACTTGGTTGTGATGCTGCTGCGTCCTTTCCCAATATTATCCCTGTACAATAATGCCCATGACCTTGTGCTGCTTTGATGTGCATATTTCTATGAATTCCTTTGCGAAAACAAGAACACCTTTTATTCAAATCTCAAAATCCCATTTTTTCGTTGACATTTCAATATTTATGGTAAGCAGCAGGTGGTGAATTGCAAGCGACACACACCGCGCGGGCAGGGCAGTCGAATCCCAGATCAGCTCAGGCTAGCCCAAACACGCTCACCCTTCCGGGTTGGGTGGTTTTTAACCATATTCCTGGGTGGGCCCTTGCGTTTCAGTTCTGTTCGATCATAATGCTTGAATGCAGAAAAGTACACGGAACTCGTCTTCAGTCATCCTGTTCTGCTCGACGTGAAATATAGCTTCAGCCATTTATTGGGAAGAAAGAACGCTAAGCAAGACGGTTGAAGTCCGTACTTCCAATCAGTATGAGTTGAATCGTGAAATAGCGTCAACGCTCAAGTTAAAGACGTCGGATGACCCGGTGGGTAGCGGCACTACGCGCTCGATTCTCCTATCGGAGCCAACTCGTCTGGCATGCCGCGAGGGTAGTAACTCTACACAGGAGCGAACGAAGAGTTCTCTTCCCAAGAACATAGGGCAGTTCAGATGTAGGGGTTAAACCGTCTGGGCACAATTCGGTACGAGGTTTGATTTCAGGATTTTGTTCGTGAAGAAGGCGCATTCCGACAACATCGCATCGCCTTCGCTGTTACATTTTGAATTTAGCATACCATCGCTTCTGAAAAAAATATTGATTTATTGCCTAGCTTAAAGCCCATAGCTGCAAGCGGAACTCTCCCCAGTCAAGTGCACAATTCACAGCCCTGTCGTGCAGATCGACCAGAAAGGGAAAATTCGCTTGAAGCCTTGCAAGACTTAGAACGCTGTGGACATAGTGATGAGCACGTAGTAACACGAAATAAAGCAGGTATACCTTGTACATATGCAATGAGTTACTTCTCGTTCTCTCGAAACAAAAACATATGGCAACTGTAGTGGAACTCACTTGAACCAGTTGGCCGCCTGCGTCATCTTTTCACCAGCCGTATCCGAAACGCCATGCACGAAAACAATGGGCTGGTTCTTCAGCTGTTGTGACCGGTCAGCTTTACCGCCGAATGATCCCTTGGATTCAAGGTCTCGCCTACAATTTGGAGAAGATTACTTGACAATTACTTGCACAGTATTTAATCTAACCCACAATCGCTCAGTACACCCTGAGCATGCTCATAGCATAGTTCAGAACCATCTTAACGAACTCCTGTTTCGTTTTGAGGATTTATAGATGTAACTATCGAGCACTTTACACAAGGAGAGAATGCCCTCAAGAAGCGGTCAGGGGAAAGCGCCACTAATTTAGGCAAGCTGCTTTCGCAAAGCAACAGCGAACGACCATCCCGCTGATTTTTGAGTGTTTCGCCTCGTTTTTCCATTTGCATCATTCAGCACCATTTTTTTAAATTTGAGACGTCAAATGATTGGAAGCAGCCACTGCTTCCAATCAGAATTTAGATAACATCGTCTGAAAAAAATTTGATTTTATCCTAGCTATGGCCCATAGCTGCAGCGTAACTCTCCCAGATTCAGAGTGCACAATCTTACCGAAGCTGCCGAGCTCGAAGCAAAGCCTGCGATCATTCGCCATCACAGATAGTGGACTAGGCGCTTGTCTATAAACGACAATGTTCTAAGTATTCGATAGTGAAGAAAAAGCAGAAAAAAACATTGTAAGACTGCTCTAGATAGAATTCGATCCCATTGCACGTGCCCAACAAACTCCATCTCCCACACTAAAAGCCCTCGCTGATGGGAGCTGATGCCAGTGAGAACTCCACGGACCATATAAGTGACGGATTTCCATCCTTTTATTCTCTTCTGCGCCAGTTCGTTTTTCACTGAAAGGGTTAAGGCGGAAGTCCGGAGCGAGCTACTGGAAAAACACACACACACTCTATGCCCCTCTCTTGCGATTTTTTCACCGTTTATCCGGCACAGCGTTGCCGTCGGGACCACACTGTCCTCCCGATGCCACATTTCAGTTCTATACCTAGGTCGTGGACGCGCTGCCAGTTGAATAATCTTATTATCATAACTTTCGATGCCCATAATAGATGTGAGTTTACTTTTGTAATCATTCAGTCAATTTTGATGGAAAATAAATTAACGCACAACGGACCTGGATTAATCTGCTTTCATCCAGTACTCCATTTGGTTAATCCACCCTCATTACATTCTATTGGGTGACTTTGAAAAAATGGAAGGCGTTCGGATTGCACGAGTCTGTGGTGAAAACCGCAAGCCTTTGGTCTCTGCGTCACTCTAGCATTCTCGCACTGTTTCCGAGATGTATTATCTTTCAGACAATCAACAAACCATTGATCGTAGCCGTCAATCGTCTTCCCTATGGATTTTTCTTTCTTTTACTGTTGAGTTTGCCCAAAAATCAGTTTTTTTTGTTGAAATTTTGCTTCACTTGATTTATATTGCTTCTGACTGGGGTAAAGGTAGCTCAGAGGGGATGAAAGGTTAACATAATTTTTTGTGAGAGATGATTCTAAACCTGGCATGATATAAATTTTTGGGGGCAGTTCGGCGACGGGGGGAGCATTTTGCACGTTGCTAGTTTCTAGCGACGTGTCGACCCAGCCGATCGAGCCTTTTCGTGAGCTAACAGGTTTTACCGTGGTGGCTCGAAGCTTACTCGAGCTTTACAAAAAAAATCACAGGTTTCACCAGTGTGAGACTTACAAACCGGAACTACGAAACTAATGAAGAGGCGAAAGTGCAAAATGCCGCTCCTCCCGTCGCCGTGCTCCTAAATTTTGTGTGCAAGGTGAATAGCGTATAAAAGCAAATTCTATGAGTTTCGATAGAAACTTTTCTGCACTGCAATGTGCTCGGTGATCTATCCTTCTTCAATTTTCGTTCATTAAAATGGAGTGAGGTGTTGACATAAGTGAGAGTTCTGACACCAACTTTTTGCACTTGATCTCACTCTGATGCACTCTCGAGTTGCAGAAGCAGCTCAAATCTTGTGATGTGAATGATCAAGGAACGACGCCTCTCTGGGATGGTTGAAGGGGGTTCAAGCCATGAGGAGGTGGGGATTTAGACTTTGTGAGGTTACCTGGGGTCCTCACAAGGTTGCCCTCTCAGGGTGCCACTTTATCCTAGCCTATCCACCTAGAACTGAGCCACTACCATCAAATGAAGGCGATGCTCAGTAGAAAACGCGGAAGTCTTCCATAGCACTTGCTAATTCTGAAAAAAGCTGATTCTGTTCTCTATAAGATGTGACCATGAAAGGGAAACAGTAAAAGTGGGATCACTGATCGAAGAACTGAGAAGTGAGCGGATAGAGGAAGTTAGGAACAGACAGTAAGGGAAGACTCTCTGCGATTTATGAAATCTCAGAAATAGGTTTAATGTCTTGATTTTAGGGTAATCATGAGACAGAGAGAAAACAAAAAACTTACATAGATTATTTCATGATGATAACTGCTGTTTTACGCCGCAGGGCCCGTTCCGAAAGTTATCACAAGATTGCTGAGTTATGGGCAAAAGTCGAACCCCAAGCGGGAGTCGAACCCGCACAACACTCACCTTGCTTCGGCGAGTGCACAGTTCCTCGTGGAGGCAACCGACTAATCCTTTACCTCACCCGGCCGCTCTTCCCCTTTTCACTTATAAATATTATTTGGAGGCGACTCTCTCGAAAATTTGCGCCTGACCCATCACGCATTCTACACACAACTACACATATTATAAATTTAAAGCTAGCCTCAACGTTCATTGCGAGCATATCTAACGATTACGGCTGGCCGGCCACCATGTAAACCGTGTAAGGGCTCTACGGCAAAAGCGTTGAGCGAGACCCAGGTAAAAGCGAACCGACGGGGCGTGACGGATAGCGGCACTCGCCCGGGAAAGCGGAGTGCCGGTTCAACTCTCGCCTGGGGTTCGACTTCTGCCCATACCTCAGCAATCTTGTGATAGCTTATATAGATTCACCTATTAGCAGTGAATTCGAAGAGAAAACAATCGAGTATGGTGCTGTCCCGGAGTCTCATTCTTATCTGAATGTGTAAAAACATCCAAAAAATTTAATTTCGAAAAACTAAAATGAACAACAAAAGTTCAAAAGTTTTAAAAAATATCTACCTTGCGAATAGTTCGGTTGCACGCTTCGTCACAGGCTGAGAATTATTGAGAGCCCGCCTTGTTTTCTGCAAGGCATATGTATCTAGAGAACATACACCACTCGCACGACTTCTCCCTATCAAACACTTACACCAAAAATATTAAAATCCCGGCAAAAAAAGATAAGCCAACCCACCCTAACCATACCCTTAAATAGTGGGATTTGACGCGATCACATTATGACTTGCCTACTGTCACGCAGTACCTCACTATTGTTTATTTGGGGTATTAAACGACGTTTTATCTTCCATGCCTTTAAATATTTTCCTTTCCATTGCGCTCTCTACCGAGCGGTGTAGTACTTTGATGATTGATGAGGGGGTTCTTGGTGAGCGTGCTCCTTTATGCGATGCCTGGAGAAACTGTATAGAGCGGTAAAGATGGTGAATTTCCTACGCCCTTCGCCTCCTTACTTTTCAAAAAGCCCTTATTAAGAACATGTGGAAGCAGCTGTAGTTAACTGCAATGACATCCAAATAGTCCCAACTCAGAGAACAGTTTATCTGGTGGAATGTTCAAGAGGACAAAAATAAGTGGAGAAACTGAGGGAGGCCCTGTACAACTCCGACGAACACCGCAGCGCTGGGAAATCCACCTCCTTTACCCTAACACAGTTTTCTCGGCAGCAATTCGCAATATAAGGAGGCACGGCTCACTAAAACCGCTGCTCATTAATCATCAAAATACCTACACCGCTCGGTAGAGAGCGCAATGGAAAGGAAAATATTACAGGCCCTTGGAAATAAAACGGCTACTACCCCAAATAAACAATAGGGAGGAACTACGTGACATATACAATCTTAAATTGTGATCACGTACCAGGAGATCCCAGCTATTACAAAGGTATGGTTAGGGTGGGTTTGCTATCTGCCGGGATACTTTTGGGTGAGTGTTTGATGGAGGAGTCCGTGCGGGTTGTATTTCTGTAGGTACATATCCAGCAGAAAACAAGCTAAATAATTTCAGGCCTGACGAAGGTGCTACGCACCGAAATATCGCAAGATAAGATATTTTAAAAAACTTTTGAGACTTTTGCTGTCTTTTGAAATCAAGATAACCAAGAATCGAAATAAAAATGGTATGTCCATCAAAGGCATATGACACGATAACATTTGGTACTAGGTCTCAAATGCCAGCAGGGTGTCATATAGGGGGGAAATGGCGAAAAAACGAAGTGAAGTGAAGCAAAAGCCAGCGAGGAAGAGCCCTCGTTCTCAATGACTCAAAAAGCAATTTCGGACGAGTTACCCGTAGGCATCGCGCGAATAACCTCCAAGGTAGGTACTACTGAAAACATGTACTCGTATATTCATGCAGCACCGCGGCCACTTCATATCCAATCCTTCACATCACATTGCACTTTCGGCAAATCGACAGCAATATCGAGCGTCAGTAACGCGTCGCCATGTTGTGGGCGGGGGCGCGTGGGCGTCCGGTCACTATGTTGTGGCTTGATAAGGCGCCAAGGGTATCTTTCTTGGAAAAGGCGCTACACGGCTCCTGCTCAGGGGCGCGGAGTCCCGTCCTGCCAGGCGTACTAAGCCTACTCTATTTATCGTGCCAACTGTCTTTAAGTTGCGTTCATACATTGTGGCGCTCTAGACAAAAAGAAGCGCAAGACTTGAGTTTTCTCCTGAACTTTAGTCCCATTTAGGATTCTCGCGCCGGCGATTGTGGTGTTGCGCGATTCCATCTAACGGCCGGAGTTATCTTCCACACATTAATGTAAATAGAAAAGGAGAGGGTGTCAAAAATGCTTAATTTTCGTCGACTTGACACTCCATTTCAAGCGCTTGAAAACTACTGCAAATGGAATCTTCAGGGAAACTAAGCAAATTTCTTGTTGGGCGAAAAGAATCTCTATCAGAAAATGCAGAGCATAATGGTAAACGTTTCATCTTCAACGCGAAATATCTCAGTTAGAAATAATCGCCATTACTTCATTGGCCAAGTCCAATACAAAAACTATCCAAGGGATGGGTGAAAAGACCAATTGTAGAAACGTGTCGATGATCGTAGTTGGTTTTTAGAACTAGCATGCACCGGGCGCAGTTGGGCAAGGGGAGGGAGGGGCATTTTGCACTTTCGTTGCTTCACTAGTTCCGGTTTACAAGTCTCACTCTGGTGAAACCTGTGAACTCTTGTGAAGCTGGAGCAAGCTCGTCAAGCCATCATGGTAAAACCTGTCAACTCGAGAAGAGGCTGTCTAGATGGGTCGACACGTCGATGGGAAGTAGCAAAGTGCAAAATGACCCCACCCCGTCGCCGAACTGCCCCAATGCACCCTTCTCATTAGAGCTTTGACCCCTCCGGTTAAGCGCAATGGTCTATCGCAATAGCAGGATCGTTCACGGATCTGATGGGCGATCTTGCTAGTCGCCGTGTTATCAGACAGCGTGCGCTTAGCCAAGCAGATAGAAATCGCTATGAGATAGCTTTCAAGCTTTTCAGTATTTCACGCTCTCTTTACGGCTGATTTACAAGCTTCATTTGTCTCTCGTGAAATAGAGAAACTAAGTATCTGAAAAGCAAGCTTTTTCGCGTGAAACTGAAAAAAACTGCGTCCCCCACAAAAAATAAATCAACTTTCCAAAAGGGTAAAATTAATGGGTAGCTTCTGCGGGCAGTGGCTCCACAAGGAGGGCTCCCATGCAATGCACATTTGCAACCCTTAAAGGCAGCGTCCGCGTTCAGTTGAGATTTTCCTCTCCCTTCGTGAGCAGGTAGTCAGGTCCGCAGAGGCAACAACTACACCACTTTCGCGGCGCAAAAACGAGTGAGGAGGCCCACGATGCCGTCGTTCTTCTCATTGGCCCAACCTACAATCATTGGCACCGCCCTCCATTCATTTCTAATGGTTATCTGATGGTGCGGTTGTTTCGCTGCTGCTTCTCTCCACGTCGAGTGGTGAGAGTGAGGTGATAAGGGAAAACAGCTGATATCAACAAG